GTACTGGGATGCGTTCTCTCTGAGTGACTGCCACAGTTCCTCACAGGGGGACTGTGATGGGTTGTCCCAGAACTATGGCCTTTCCTCTCAGATGGTGAGTGATAGTTTTCCCAGAGGAGCCAGGGCTCCTCCCTGAGGCACTGCAATGGCTCCTCTCTGAGGGACTGTGACCTCTCCTCTCCAAGAGCCTGTGGTATCTCCTCTCCAAGTGACTATGGACTACCTCTCTGAAGGAATGTGACCTCTCCTCTGCAAGGGCCTACGTACTCTCCTCTCCTAGGAACTGTGACCTCTCTGAGGTGCTACGAACTCTCTTCTCCAAGGGACTGCAAACTCTCCTCTCTGAGGGACTGTGACCTCTCCTCTCTGAGTGACTTCGAAGTCTTCTCTGTGAGGGACTGAGAACTCTTCTCTCTGAGGAACTGTGACCTCTCCTCTCCCAGGTACTGCAACATATCCTATCTGAGCAACTTCAAACTCTCCTCTCCGAGGGACTGGGACCTCTCCTCTGTGAGGGAATGTGACCTTGCCTCTCTGAGGCACTGCAGACTCTTCTCTCTGAGTGACTTTGACCTCTCCTCCCCGAGGTACTGTGAACTCTCCCCTCCAAGGGATTGTGACCGCTCCTCTGTGAGGGACTGTGAACTCTCCTCTCCTATGGATGGCAAACTCTCCTCTCCCACGGACTGGGACCTCTCCTCTCCTAGGGACTGTGAACTCTCCTCTCTATTGGACTGTTAACTATCCTCTGTGAGGGACTGTGACCTTGCCTCTCCCAGGTACTGCAAACTCTCCTCTCTGAGGAACTGCAAACTCTTCTCTCTGCGGGACTCTAAACTCTGCTCTCCGAGGGACTGTGGCATCTCCTCTCTGAGCCACTGTGAACTAATCTCCACAGACTCTGTGGCTTGATATTGTTGCCTTGGGGTCATTCCTAGTGGTTCTGTGATACATGGATATGATTCCATTAATCATTTTTAGAATCCATGACTTGAAGCAATGCTGCAGGAGTTATCTTCACATTATCTATGACTTTATTTAGTCTTCAGGCCATCCTGTTTGGTTCTACAGCTTCTTGCTGAATCTTGGGGGGTCACTTCCACTGATTCGGTTATTTGATTTGTGGTTTAGGAGTTACATGCAGTGTTTCCATGACTTCCATTGGCTTTACAGCTTGATTTGGTGCCTGTGGAACAGATTTTGTCACTTCTGAATGTGATTCTGGGATCATCCCCATTGAAGCCATGACCTGAAGTAATGCCAGTGGAGTTATCTTTATGTTGCCTTTGACTTTATAAGGAAAAGAAGCCTTGGGGTCAGCTTCATATTAGTCACTTGTGTACTAGGCTGCTGAATTCTTTTTTCTACAACACTTTGCTCTGTACTAAGCTATTTTACGATTGCCCATGATTTCTGCACAGGCACTGTTTCTTTCTGTGAACTTGAAACATTCCAAGACCTATGTCTTTCTTTCTAGCTCCCATCTAGTCAAAGGAGAGAGCTGGGCCAGGGCCCACCCTGGAAGTAGTGGCCTTTCATTGAAAACAGAATTTGGTGGTGGTACGTGTGAAAGCACTTCCAAATTCTGAAGGTGTTCCAGTTCCTCATGTTGGGCCTAAATCCCCGACAGCGCTAATCACCCGAGTCACAACATGATGTTAAGTCTGCAGAGAACTTTATTTCCAGCCAGGACCAAATCTCTTGCAAGGAGACTGGCCCCAAACTGAACTTTTGGTCAGTTTTTATAAAGAAAACCCTTTCCTCCACTGCCCTCCCTAGCCCTGCAGTAAGCCTATCTACAGAAGCAAGAAAGAATGCGTGGTTAGCACCTCTGGGTTATCAGATACATAATGTAAAACCAGCCCTTACAAAATGTAAACACACATCCCTGTTATTTATGAAGGGTGGGTTCCATATGCGCCCTTGTGGTTGTTTGTCTGAACCCTTTCTATGTGTGTACTTTCTATTGTGTTTTGTGATCTAAATCCCTTTGTGATTCTTTTCATTGGATCTTTTGAATCAGAGGTCTCTTGTGTTCTCACTTTAGCGTGTTTCTCCTTGTGATTGCTTGCAGAATCACTCTCTGACAGGGAGTGAACTTTAGGGAACTCATGGTACTCAGACACTCCAATTTCTGTCTTGCTGACTGATTCAAAGCTCCACTGTTTCCTCCTGATGTGGACTTGGGAAGGAACAGGAGTGTGGGAAGATCCAGACTGGAAATCTATTGTGGGACCAACACTCTTGGAAGCTGGAGGATAGATTTTAGCTTTCTATGGTGATATAGGACTTCTTGGTATGGTGTGTCTGTCTCTTCCTTGATATGTTGAGACTTGAGGTCTTTTCCCAGTTTGCAACCTAAAGCCAAGATGCACCTGAACCTTACCATGGCCTTCAGGAGTGCTCACAAGCTGGAGCTGTGGATAGATAAGAAGAAAAGATGCAGGAGTAGTCTGCAATTTATGATTGCAAGTAAATCCTGAACATCGGCCACACTGTAGGCAGAAGGGATATTTCAGGACAAGATCTGATGCTAGAGGTGAAGGCACATTAGGAGGTATTTGACTTCTTATGAGTTTCACTGCAACTTTTTGCTTGAGATCTTCTAGTAGGCAGGACTGTTCTGAGGAGTCATTCTTGGCCTGACAATGATAACTTGGTTTTTGGAAGTGTAGGGGCCCAAAAGTCACTGCCTCTGAATCAGAAAGTGATTCATCTTCCTTGTTGTGAAATATCCCATGGGAAGTTTCTGAGTCTGCACCAGAAAGTAATGATTGGCTGCTCATCTCCTCACACTTAACATCTTTAAGTATTCGATCTGGTAAAACTGCAACAGATTTCACACCATTTAATGGAGACCCTAAAGTGAATACAGGTTGTACAACTTGCTGCTTCCACTGAAGCTGGCTCTCCCAAAATTGGACCCCTTGAAACTTTGTCCCTGGAGTTAACTCAGAAGATTTCATATCTTGCAAGTGTGGTTCAGAGTTGACCATTGTAAATGTATTGCTTTGAATTTTTGTACTTGAATTCAGCTTACAAGATTTCAATTCTTGAAGTTTTGAAGCTGCAGTTAATCCAGAAGGTTTCACATCCTGCAAATGTGGCCCAGGGTTGCACCCAGTAGAATTTACACACTGAGGTTTTGGACCTGGAGTGCATGCAGAAGAATTCACACCTCGTAAATGTGGTCCAGGGTTGCACCCAGTAGAATTCATACACTGAAGTTTTGGCCCTGGAATGGGTTTGAACCCATGAAGCTGATATTCCTGGAGTGGTGCCAGAGATTGTATACATTGGCACTTTGACCTTGGAGGCAATTCAGATGTCTTCACATCTCTCAGTTGTTCTGAAGGTTTCAACTCTACAGCTGTGACACCTTGAGATTGTGGCACGGATTTTATAACTTGGAACCCTGGTCCTGGTATCCACTCAATAGTCTTCATACTTCCAAGCTGTGGCCCTGGGTAGATCTCTGCAGACTTCCTTTCTTGAAGCTGTGGCTCTGAGGTTGACCCAAATTTTTTCGCTTTTTGTAGCTTGGACCCTCGGAACAACTTGGAGATTTTTCCACACTGTTCCTGTGGCCCAAGGTCAAATCTCATAGATTTTTTTAGTCTGATTTTTTGACCCTAGAGTCAATTCAGATGACTTCACACTTCCCAGCTGTATGAAAGATTTCAACCCTGTAGGTTTGACACATTGAGATTGTGTCTTCACATTTAATGCTGTAGATTTCACACCTTGGAACTCAGGTCCTGGTATCCACTGCAGAGATTTCCTGTTACCAAGCTGTGGCTCTTTGTTTAATTCCACAGTTTCCACACCTGCAAGCTGTGGCTCTGAGGTTGATGCAAAAGTTTTCCTGTTTTGTAGCCACTGTCCTGGGAGCGATTCAGGGGTTTTCACACACTCTAACTGTGGTTTAGGATTGCACTCTGTAGATTTTGCTCCTGGAAGTTTAGGTCCTAAAGTCAATTCAGATGACTTCACATCTCCCGACTGTATACCTTGAGATTTTGATCCAACATTTAGCCCTACAGACATCACTCCTTGGAACTCAGCCCTTGACATCCACTGAATAGTTCTCGTACTTCTGATGTGTGACTCTTTGTTTAACTTCACAGTTTTCATATCTTGAAGCTGTGGTCCTGGGGTCAACTTGGGAGATTTCCTACTTTGCAACTGTGGTTCATATTTGAATGCTTTAGCTCTTATATCTTGAATATCTGGTCCTGGAGCCAATTCAAATGGTTTCATAGTTTTCAACTGTATTTTGGAATTGAGTTGTGTAGATTGTGTATCTTTTGATTTGGGCTCTGGAACGAACTCTGAAGACATTGTACTGTCTGACTTGAATCCTTTCTTCAGTTGGTCTATATTCACATGTTTCCATCCTGGCAAGTTTACAAATACCTGGCCATCCTGTCCAGGATCAAGAGTTAAACTCACTGGTATCACCCCTTGAAAGTGTTGCTTTGGGTCTAAATCCACAGATTTTACTTCTTGAAACCCTTGTCTTCTGGTTACATTCTCAGATTTTGCCTCCTGCCTCTTAAGCCTTGGGGCCAACTTCACAGATTTGTCACATTGCACCTCTGAATCTGGAGTATCCTTTATGGATTTTAAATTTTGCAGCTCAATTAATGGAGTCACAAGTTTCATATCTTGCATTTGTGGCTCTGAAATCAGTTCCTCAGGTTTCACACTCTGCAGTTCAGACCTTTGAAGAACCTCCTTGGATTTAACAACTTGAACCAATGGATCTGGTGGAAAAGCCACAGAATCCCCACCTTGCATCTTTGGCCCAAGTTTCAGTTCCGTAACTTTCGTATCTTGCATATTTATACCCCAGACTAACTCATCAGTTTTCAGATCTTGAATTCTTGAACCTGGAGTCACCTCCACAGATTTGAAACCTTGTAGCTGGGGACTTGAGGTTAACTCCATAGATTTCATACCTTGTAGACATGGTCCTGCAGTTAAGACCACAGATTTTTTTATCTTTCGACTGTGATCCTAAAGGTATCAACTGAGATTGTAAACTTTGAGGCTCTGAACCTGAGGCCAGGTCCCCAGCTTTTATGCCTCTTGTCTGTGGCCCTAGACTTAACACCATAGATTTGACTTCTCCTGGCTCTGGCTTTGGTGTTAACTTCATTGATTTCTTACCTCCCAAATGTGTCCTTGGGGGTAGCTCCACAGATGTCATATCTTCTGGCTGTGGTTCTGAGATCAGCTTCTCAGACTTTAAACCTGGAAGCCTTGAGACTGGGATATGCTCCTCAGGTTTTATATCTTCCAGCTGTGGAAGTTCAAACATAGGGTCAACAAAAGAGTTAGGTGGTGGTAAATGTGAAAGAGCTTCCGAATAGTGAAGTTGTTCTGCTTCTTCAGACCCTGACAGCTGAAAAGGTGGCAGTGATGTGCCTTGGTTCCTGAACACAGATGGTTGCTTTCTGTGGGAAACAGGCAATCGCTCCGAAATTGCCAAGTTGTCCCTTCAGAGGAGGCAGGAAGGTTAGACAGGCTGGA